GAATAGCTCAGCTGGAATATTGTCACCTCCACTAGCTTTGTTGTTGCTCAGATTTTCTAAGGCCCATTTCACTTCACATTCTAGGATGTCTGGTTCGAGGTCAGTGACCATCTCATTGTGGTTATCTGGGATGTTAAGCTCATTCTTGTATAGTTCTTCTGTGTAGTTTTGCCATCTCTTCTTAATCTCTTCTGCCTCTGTTAGGTCTCTGCCATTTTGGTCCTTTATCATGCCCATCTTTGCATGAAACGTTCCCTTCATATCTCCAATTTTCTTGAAGAGATCTCTGGTCCTCCCTATTCTGTTGTTTTCTTCTATTTCTTTGCACTGTTCATTTAAGAAGGCATTCTTATCTCTTCTAGCTACTCTCTGGAATTCTGCATTCAATTGGGTGTATCTTTCTCTTTCTCCTTTGCCTTTCGCTTCCCTTCTTTCCTCAGCTATTTGCAAAGCTTCCTCAGACAGCCATTTTGCTTTCTTGCATTTCTTTTTCTTTGGGATAGTTTTAGTTGCTACCTCTTGTACAATGTTGCGAACTTCCATCCATAGTTCTTCAGGCACTCTGTCTATCAGATCTAATTCCTTAAATCTATTTGTCACCTCTACTGTATATTCATCAGGAATATGATTTAGTTCATACCTGAGTGGCCTAGTGCTTTTCCCTACTTTTTTCAATTTAAGCCTAAATTTTGCAACGAGAAGCTCATGATCTGAGCCACAGTCAGCTCCTGGTCTTGTTTTTATTGACTGTATACAGCTTCTCCATCTTTGGCTGCAGAGCACATAGTCAATCTGATTTCTATGTTGACCGTCTGGTGATGTCCATGTGTAGAGCCGTCTACACATGGACATAGACCATAACTGAGCCTAAAATTTTCATTGATAAGTGAAACAGTTGTTAAGTGAATTCTGCCCCATTTGATAACCCTTCTTGCCACAGCTGTTAAGTGAATCCCTGCAATTGTTAAGTTGTTAAGTGACTCTGGCTTCCCTATTGATTTTACTTGTCAGAAGGTCGCAAAAGGTGATCATGTGACTCCAAGGTCCTGCAACAGTCATTAATATGAAGATCTGAATTTTAATCACATGACCACGGGGAAACTGCAGTTGTGTTAAGTGTGAAACACGGTCATAAGTCACTTTGTTCAGGGACATTGTAACTTCCAACAGTCACTAAATGCACTGTTGTAAATCGAGGACTACCTGTATTGTATTTGTCCATTTTCTTTTTTTTTTTAATAATTTTTTATTTTTCCAAACTCTCCCCCATACATATACTGTGATATTTATCAGTTGCTAACATACATTCTTTTTACATTCATATATAAGATACTTTTAATAAAATGAAATAAATACATACACATGACTTTTGGTGTTGCTCGCCCATTTCCCCTTTCACTGTATCCACACTCCTTCTTCTCTACCTTCTTTCTCCCTTTCTTCTCTTCCCTACTTCCCTCTTCTTCCTCTCCTCTTCTCTTTCCTCCACCACTCTCCTCCCCTTTCTCCCCACTTCTCCTCTTCTCCTCCAACTTTCCTACTTCCTTCTCCCCTCCTTCACTCTTTTCTCTCCTCTCCTTTCTTCCCTCTCATCCCTCTTCAGATACAATTCAGGGGTAATGTCCAAGCAACTCCTCTCTCCAAATTTCCCTATCTGTATTATATACAATAAGATTAATTTTCTCTTACATTAATACTTTTATTTATCTAACCTTCTCGGTATATATTTCTATAAATATTTATACAACCTCCAATTATTCAATACTGTGTCGCCAGGGTCTCCCTCCTTATCTGCTCCTTCTTCTTCCATCTAAATCAGTGGTTCTCAACCTTTTTAATGCCGCGACCCCCAACCGGTCATAAGTCGAGGACTACTCAACCGGTCGTAAGTCGAGGACTACTCAACTGGTGCAGCACCGTTTGCAGAATGGGACTTTTGGCGGGCTCAGCAGGGCAGAGACAGCCTGGACAATTCCTATTGGCTTTTGAAAGCCAATAGAATTAGACTCTATTCAAGAGAGTCTATTCTATTGGCTTTCAAAAGCCAATAGAATAAAAGGGAGTAGCACAGCTAAGGAAAAGGGGGAAAAAAATGGCGGACTGCGTTGTTTGGCGATCCCCGTGAAATGGTCATTCGACCCCAAATGGGGTCCCGACCCACAGGTTGAGAATCACTGTTATAGTGTATTCTGTATTGTTGCAATGAATAAAATGTTGAGGTTGAGAACCACTGATCTAAATTGATGTTAACTATCTTTTAACCGTATTCTCTTTTCAGCCAATCATAATTTGTCCATTTTCAAGGGACTCCAGTAGAATATTATTTCCCATGCCATAAAAAAACTTCACCTGCAGTCCAAATTGTTCCAAAGGGACCTTTTCAAAATTACTGGATTGTCTTTTTCCTTGAAGCCTTTTTGCTTCTTATCCAAGAAGCTTCTTCAGATCAAGGAAAGAAACAAAGACAAGTCCACTCGCCTTTTGAAAAAGCACCTTTGGGACCACCGTGACCTGGATGACTGAGAATCTCCATAGAGATGTAGTCCAAGCTGCTATCTATTCTTTTTATCCTTGCCTGATGGCACTCCACCAAATAAACTCTTCCAGCTCAAGGCGTTTTGTTTTAATTAGCCGTTTTCTGGCCTACTTTCCTGTTATTTAAAGGCATGGCACTCGTCCATTCGGCCAGTCCCTAATCTCAGATGTCAGCTTCCCAATTTTCCACTGCAGGCCTATTGATCCAGCAAGTTGGAAAGGAACAGAAGGCAACCTAAATGAATTTCCCGCAGAGAAAACGGGAACACTTTCCCCTCTTAAACTCTGCCAGTAGATGTCCTTCTGTGCAGTCTGGGCTCCAGCATTTTCCCAGGCGGGCTGGATGGCAAGAACCCAGCACCATTTTTGCAATGAGGCTTGCAAAGCTCCAAAGGCAAAATAGGGGAGAACCAGTAAATCAAACATTTTAGGAAAAGTTCCCCGTAAGAAACCAGGAAGGTCATGACTTCCTATCTCACTTATTTCCGGATTTAATCTGAAACTCAAAGAGTTCTGAAATTGCAGAATAACCTTAAAGATTATATACAGGTAGTCCTTGACTTACGACCACAATGGAGCCCAACATTTCTGTTGCTAAGCAAGATAGTTGTTCTGAGTTTTGCCCTATTTCAGGGGTAGGCAATCTTGGCTCTTTTATGACTCGTGGACTTCAACTCCCAGAATTCCTGAGCCAGCCATGCTGAGGGGAAAGGGAGAGATTTCCAAGCTGAGCCATGCTGGCTCAGGAATTCTGGGAGTTGAAGTCCACGAGTCATGAAGGGGCCATAGTTCCTCCATGCTGGCTCAGGAATTCTGAGAGTTGAAGTCCAGGAGTTATAAAAGAGCCAAGGTTGCCTACCCCTGCCCTATTGGATGACCTTTCTTGCCATAGTTCTTAAGAAAATCACTGCAATTGTTAAGTTAATATGGTTGTTAAGTGAATCTGGGTTTTCCCTTGCCTTTGCTTGTCAGAAGATCGCAAAAGGGCATCTGTGACTCCGGGACACTGCGACCGATATCAATATGAACCAGTTGCCAAGCGTCCAAATTTTGATCATGTAACCATGGGGATGCTGCAATGGTCATAAGTGTAAAAAATGATCATTTTCTTCGCTGCCATTGTAACTTTGAACGGTCACTAAAGGAATGGTTGTAAGTATTAATGGTTGTAAGTATTAATACCACTCTTCAATGCCTTGGTAAGGCCACACTTGGAATACTGCATCCAGTTTTGGTCACCACGATGTAAAAAAGATGTTGAGACTCTAGAAAGAGTACAGAGAAGAGCAACAAAGATGATTAGGGGACTGGAGGCTAAAACATATAAGGAACGGTTGCTGGAATTGGGTATGTCTAGTTTAATGAAGAGAAGGACGAGGGGGGACATGATAGCAGTATTCCAATATCTCAGGGGCTGCCATAAAGAAGAGGGAGTCAAGCTATTTTCCAAAGCACCTGAAGGCAGGACAAGAAGCAACGGGTGGAAACTAATCAAGGAGAGAAGCAACCTAGAACTAAGGAGAAACTTCCTGACAGTGAGAACAATTAACCAGTGGAACAACCTGCCTCCAGAAGCAGTAAATGCTCCAACACTGGAAGTTTTTAAGAAGAGACTGGACAGCCATTTGTCCGAAATGGTGTAGGGTTTCCTGCCTGAGCAGGGGGTTGGACTAGATGACCTCCAAGGTCCCTTCCAACTTTACTACTATTATTATTATTAAGTTCGAGGACTAGCTGTAGTCCAGTCCCCCTTTAATCTCTTGTTACCCCATCTCTGGATGTCAGTGGCCACCTCGAGATGTTCTCATTTCTCCTGTTTCATTTTGCTCCTCTTCCAGAAAACAAAGCCCCCATCCCGATTTACAAATGCCATTCTAGGTTGCATTAACAGAGGGATAGAATCAAGATCATGTGAAGTATTAATACCACTTCATAATGCCTTGGTAAGGCCACACTTGGAATACTGCATCCAGTTTTGGTCACCGCAATGTAGAAAAGATGTTGAGACTCTAGAAAGAGTACAGAGAAGAGCAACAAAGATGATTAGGGGACTGGAGGCTAAAACATATAAGGAACGGTTGCTGAAATTGAGTATGTCTAGTTTAATGAAGAGAAGGACGAGGGGGGACATGATAGCAGTGTTCCACTATCTCAGGGGCTGCCACAAAGAAGAAGAATCAAGCTATTCTCCAAAGCGCCTGAAGACAGGACAGGAAGCAACGAGTGGAAACTAATCAAGGAGAGAAGCAACCTAGAACTAAGGAGAAACTTCCTGACAGTTAGAACAATTAACCAGTGGAACAACCTGCCTCCAAAAGCGGTGAATGCTCCAACACTGGAACTTTCTAAGAAGAGACTGGACAGCCATTTGTCCGAAATGGTATAGGGTTTCCTGCCTGAGCAGGGGGTTGGACTAGATGATCTCCAAGGCCCCTTCCAACTCTATTCTGTTCTGTTCTACTTACGTGTCCGACTCGTCTTCTTCACCTGGGCAGCTCCTCTGCTTCCCCAGTCCGCCTCCTCTGCTGCTCCTTCTTCGTTTTGGAAGAGGGCAATTCTCAACCCGGCCACTAGGCGGGGAAAACTTAAAAAGCCCCCGCACGGCTCGGCCACTTGCTGGAGAGCCTGCAGGACCCCGGCTGGGATCTCTTGGTCCTCTTGGGGGGCCACCCCGGAGCCGCCCCGCCCCCAGCGGCTCTCGATCTCCGAGATGTGGACGGTCCCTTTGCGTTGGTCGTCCAAGATTTCGAAGAGGATCCGGAGGCTCTGGAGGAAGGGGCGGGGCAGGCGGGCTCCACTCGGAGGAGGGTCTTCTGCGATGGGGGGAAGAGAAGGGGTCGCCAGCCCCCCCGAATTCATTCGGATGGTGGGGCCCCCCCAAAGGCGGAGGAGCTTAGATTTGGGGCAAGGGGGGGGGAAGTTGAGCAGCCCCCTGGCAGGGACGAAGAAAGTTGGAAGTTCTTGGGATGAGACTGGAAAGCTCCAATTCCCCCCCCCCCCGAAGGATGCAATAATTCTGCTGAGCAGAGAGAAGCGGAATCGGAGTTAACCGGGCTCGGTGGGAAAGGACGCCGGTGAACGGGTTAGTCAAGGCAGAAGACCGGCCAACGAAAGCTCCCCGCTTCTCCCTTTCTCTTTCCCTGCCCGCCCCAGCAGTCGGACGTGAAGATCTGTGGTTTGACCCAGTCGAAAGATCCGATGGGATTGAGTCAGGTGACCCTCTCGGATAATCACCCTGGATGCCAGACGATTAGCAGCTCTGCTAATGAAGTGGATTCCTCTCTCTGGAGTGACCGGGGAGAGGAAGGGAGGGACGGGTGTGGGGGGGGAGAGTTTTCGCCTTCTGCGTGTTGGAAATTGTTACCCGAAGTGTAAGATCAATTCTTCTCTTCCTCTTCTTTTCCCCTTCTCTGACTTTACAGAATACAGAATAATCAGAGTTCAAAGGGACCTTGGAGGTCTTCTAGTCCAACCCCCTGCTCAAGCAGGAACCCTACACCATTTCAGACAAATGGCTGTCCAGTCTCTTCTTAAAAACTTCCAGTGTTGGAGCATTCACAGCTTCTGGAGGCAGGTTGTCCCACTGGTTAATTGTTCTCACTGTCAGGAAATGTCTCCTTAGTTCTAAGGTTGCTTCTCTCTTTGTTCAGTTCCCAACCATTGTTTCTTGTCCTGCCTTCTGGTGCTTTGGAAAATAGATTGACTTCCTCTTCTTTGTGGCGATCCCTTAGATACTGGAACACTGCTATCATGTCACCTCTACTCTTTCTTTTCATTGGGCTAATCTAATTGGAATAGAGCTGGAAGGGACCTTGGAGATCTTCTAGTCCAGTGGTTCTCAACCTGTGGGTCGGGACCCCATTTGGGGTCGAACGACCATTTCACGGGGGTCGCCAAACAACACAGTCCGCCATTTTTTTCCCCCTTTTCCTTAGCTGTGCTACTCTCTTTTATTCTATTGGCTTTTGAAAGCCAATAGAATAGACTCTCTTGAATAGAGTCTAATTCTATCGGCTTTCAAAAGCCAATAGGAATTGTCCAGGCTGTCTCTGCCCTGCTGAGCCCGCCAAAAGTCCCATTCTGCAAACGGTGCTGCACCAGTTGAGTAGTCCTCGACTTACGACCTGTTGAGTAGTCCTCGACTTACGACCGGTTGGGGATCGCGGCATTAAAAAGGTTGAGAACCACTGTACTACAGCTTCAAAGTGCTTTAGGAAGAAAGGAAGGAAGAAGCCTTGAGTCCCCAAGAGTCAGGTTACATATAAATTTAAGTGATGGTAAACGATGTTGAGAAGGATGTAATGATGCAATCAATCATCCAGTTTTGAAAATACAATATTCTGCTTTCACGTGAATCTCTCATTCCTTAAGTGAAACAGACGACTCTCTTGGGAGGTGGGAAGCGCAAGCAGAAAGGAAGCAAGCAGTTTTATACTGTATTAATATAAGAAAAGTGAGTTTCCAAGATATGTAGTTAAAAAGAATCAAAATAAGTCCAATTTACTATCTTTGAAAGTAAATAAAATTAGCTAAGTTGTCTCAGAAGGTGGCAGTGTCTAGCCAAACTTGATGGGGCTCCATCAGCTCATTTCAGCAAAGTTCAACTCAGAGAACCAATACCATCTAGTAGTAGTGGTTAAGGTTGGAAACCAGGAGATGGTGAATTCTAGTCTCACCTTAGGAATGAGAGCCTGCCAGTCAGTCTTTCTCAGCCCAACCCACATCACAGAGTTGCAGCTGTGGGGAAAACAGGAGGAGGAAGGACTGTTATGTATGCTTACTGCCATGGGTTATTTATAAAAAGTAATAAAGGTGGGATAAAAAAAAATCCTTTAAAACAGTGGTTCTCAACGTTTGTGTGATGGCGACCCCCGTCACACAAACGTTCTGCGCATGCGCGGCGCCGCCCCCTGAGGGGAGAAAATGGCGGATCGCCTTCTTTGGCGACCCCCGAAAAATGGTCGATCGACCCCAAATGGGGTCGCGACCCATAGGTGGAGAACCGCTGCTTTAAAAAATTCAAATCTGGTTCCTTCTTGAATAAGAGACCACCAAGAACTTGTGCTTAAGATGGAAATGGCAAATCATTTATGTCTTATGTCTAAGTCTATTTACCCATTTAGCATGACTGTATTACTTTTATCCTTCTCATCTGTTCCACTACCTTCTCTATTAGTAGCATTATTAGCATTATTGTCCTTTGTTATTAGGACTGTTATGTTGTTTTGCGTGTACACTGAGAGCTTATGCACCGGAGACAAATTCCTTGTGTGTCTAATCACACTTAGACAATAAAGTATTCTATTTGTATCCCTGCAGACAAATCTACAGTGGCATTTCCAAGGATACGAATTTAAAATGTAGCTTAGCAGGATGTTGAAATGCAGTTAGCGTCTAATGATGATGATGGTGGTGGTGATGATGATGATGATAATGAAATTAATAAAGTTGGAAAGTGATCTTGGAGGTCATCTAGTCCAACCCCCTGCTCATGCAGGAAACCCTATATCGTTTCAGACAAATGGTTGTCCAGTCTCTTCTTAAAAAGTGTTGGAGCATTCACAACTTCTGAAGGCAAGTTGTTCCACTGAATTGTTCTAACTGTCAGGAAATTTCTCCTTAGTTCTAGATTGCTAACTCAAGCTGACGAGCTTACTGTTTACTTATGTATTTATTTACTTATCAAATTTATATAGCCATCTATCTCACATGACTCTGGGATGGTGAGCAACAAAACCAATAATTAGAACAGCCTTAAATAACAGTTAAAACAAATATAAATTACAAAGAAAACTGTGGGAGAATACATGAGAATCTCACACGCACAGGCAATCCTCAAGTTATGACCACAATGAAGTTTGCCCATTAAGGTTTTAAGTCCTAACCATCCCCAAAAGGGTCAGTTACATGACTGTCTTGATTTTATGACTTTTTTAATTTGTGGTTTAAGGAAACGCTATAGGCATTCAATGAACCCATTGTCCACCATGATGTGGTTTTGTTGAAAACCACATGTGTTGGTTTTCAGTAAAGCCATTGTAGAATGCAGTTATGTGACTGTGGGGTGCTCTAAACCAGTGGTTCTCAACCTTTTTAATGCTGTGACCCCCCCAACCGGTCGTAAGTCGAGGACTAAACCGGTCATAAGTTGAGGACTAAACCGGTCGTAAGTCGGGGACTACCCAACTGGTCGTAAGTCGAGGACTTTCCCTGCCTGGGAGCGCCGCGTATGCGTGGTGCCGCCCCCTGTGCCGGCCGAGACGCAGCTGGCAAGCGGCAGAGATGGAGCAGGCCAACCACCGGCTGGGCCACCAGCTGGCCCAGCCCAAGGGAGGTAAGGCACCCGCCGGAAAAGGGGGAAAAATGGCGGACAGCCTTGCTTGGCGACCCCTGTGAAATGGTCGATCGACCCCAAATGGGGTCCCGACCCATAGGTTGAGAACCGCTGCTCTAAACAATTTAAATGTGGCCATGTTGCTGAGTTCCCAAAATGCAGTCATAACTATAGTTGGCGGGGGAGGGGGAGGGGTGCAACTTTTGGAACTTTGAATCTGGGTCATGTCCCCATTTTCAGAGAGGTGCTAACATGGAATGGTCACTAAGTGAGTAGAATAGAACAGAACAGAATAGAATAAATAATAAGAGTTGGAAGGGATCTTGGAGGTCTTCTAGTCCAGGGCTTTTCAACCAGTGGTACAGGTACCACCTGTGGTACATTGGCACGTGGTAGGTGGTACGCGACCATCCTAGAAAAGTGGTAATGGGGGAGGGGAATGAGCTGAACCGTGGCAGCACCACACAAGCCTGAGTGAGAGATGGCTGGAGCTGCAGGGCTGTCAGGGATCAGCGGAAGCTTTCCAGCTGATTGGTGCTTCTTCAGGGCTGTCAGGGCTCAGCGGAAGCGTCAGGATCAGCACCAGGTTCCAGCTGGAGCTCAGCGCTGATCCTTGTGCTTCTCCTGAGCCCAGAAGAAGCACCGATCAGCTGGAATGTTGCAGCATCTCCAGGGTCTTGTGATTTACATTCAGATGCTTGGCAACTGATTCATATTTATGACGGTCAGTGTCCCAGGGTCATGTGAAGTGACCAAAACCTGCTGCAACCACCCAGCAGACGGGGAGAATAAAAACCAAATACCCTCCCCACCCCACCCCCGCTGCTAATCCTCAATAGAAATACTCACAACAACGGAAACCTCGGACAGGAGGAAGAGCGCTACCAGGTGCGCAGGCAAGTGTCTTGCTTAGCTGTGGCTTGGGGGGCACTTTTTTCAGTGCCATTGTAACTTCAAACAGTCACTAAGTGAACTGTTGTAAGTCGAGGACTACCTGTACTTTATCACTTCTTTCCTTTTTTTTTTTTTGATCCATCAAGTTTTTGACACCTTGCTAGGTGACTGGTGGTACTTGGATATTGCCATATCCTAAAAGTGGTACAATGGGTGAAAAGGTTGAAAAGCCCTGTTCTAGTCCAACCGCCAGCTCAGGCAGGAAACCCTATACCATTTCAGACAAATGGCTGTCCAGTCTCTTCTTAAAAACTTCCAGTGTTGGAGCCTTCACAGCTTCTGCAGGCAGGTTGTTCCCACTGGTTAATTGCTCTAACTGTCAGGAAGTTTCTCCTTAGTTCTAGGTTGCTTCTCTCCTTGGTTAGTTTCCACCCGTTGCTTCTTGTCCTGCCTTCAGGCGCTTTGGAGAATTGCTTGATCAGTCCTGAGGATTACCTGTAGTATTTTCCTTCATCCTCAGCTACATGTTTTCTTTTTATTTTCTACACTTTTTATTTTATTTTCTCTTTATTTCTCTTATTTTATTTCTGTGTTTTTTGTAGTTTGTATATTTTCTCCTTTCCATTTGTAATTCAAAATAAAAATTGTTTGGGAAAAAAACCAAAGGGATCTCACTCAAGGGAACCCACACGTGATTCTATGATTCTCTAACTCAGTGCTTCTCAACCTTGACAATTTTAAGGCATGTGGACTTCAACTCCCAGAATTCCACAGCCAGCGTTGCTGGCTGTGGAATTCTGGGAGTTGAAGTCCACATGCCTTAAAATTGTCAAGGTTGAGAAACACTGCCTAACTGTTAACACAGCCAACTCACGGGCTCTGTTCCTAGAGGCTTGGCCGCCATGCTAGAGCATTGCTACCCGAGAACTACAATGATCTGCTTTTGGAAAGCAGCCTCTGATCTGAGGCCTGTTAAAGCTGTTAAAAGAAGCCGCTCAGAG